CTTGGCCGCTGCTCCGTGTCCCCCGGCTGGGCTTGTCCCCACCCTCGGGGACAGGGGGGTGGTGGCACCACCGTGTTTGTGACATCGGAATCTCACAGTGTCCCCCTCTGTCCCCACGGCGGTGGCCTCTGGGGCAGCCCGGTGACATCGCCGTCCTGCGTTTCTGGGGACAGCGGTGCCACCCGGGGGACACAGCCTGGCCATGGGGTGTCCCCATGGTGTCCCCAGTGCCGGCCTGGGGACAACACCACAAATCCACCGCAATGAGCACACGGGGAGGGGGGATTTGATGGCCGCGGTGCCAGCGGTGCCAGCGGTGCCAGCGGTGCCAGCGGTGCCGCCGCCCCGCAGGTACCACGACAAGCAGGAGGTGACCAGCAGCTTCCTGGGGGCCATGTGGCTGATCTCCATCACCTTCCTGTCCATCGGCTACGGGGACATGGTGCCACACACCTACTGCGGCAAGGGCGTGTGCCTGCTCACCGGCATCATGGTGAGGGACACGGGGACAGCCAGGGGACACTGACAGGGGACATGGGACACAGGGACACGGGGACAGCCAGGGGACACTGACAGGGGACATGGGGACACAGGGACACGGGGACAGCCAGGGGACACTGACAGGGGACATGGGGACACCAACAGGGGACATGGAGACACTGCCAAGGGACAGCCAGGGGACACAGGGACACTGCCAAGGGACAGCCAGGGGACACGGGGACACTGACAGGGGACACGGCAGGGACACCATGTGGGGACAGGCGAAGGGACACCACGAGTGTCCCCTGCCTTGGGGACACAGCGAGGAGATTTCCCACCTGGGGATTGTCCTGAGCTCCGGACCGAGAGGCGAGCTGGGAATTCGGGGTCTCCACTGAGGTTTTGAATTTTAATTTTTTAACCCCAAATTGACCCCAAAACGCCAGTGAAGGACAGGAGCAAACGCTGTCCCCTCTGTCCCCTCCGTCCCCGCTGTCCCCGCAGGGCGCCGGCTGCACCGCGCTGGTGGTGGCCGTGGTGGCCCGGAAGCTGGAGCTGACCAAAGCCGAAAAACACGTCCACAACTTCATGATGGACACGCAGCTCACCAAGCGGGTGAGACCGCCGGGCTCGTCCCAGAAAATGGGGAAAATCCCGTTA